TTCCATGCAATTTTTAATTAATCTCTTTTTACTTTCACATAGAAAACACTATAGACATGGAAACAGGAGTCCTTTATTTATCATATCTAGCTTTGGGCACTGAGCTGCAGCACTAGCACTGGGAAAGCTTTTCTGTGTTGTAGCATCACTGTAGCATCAGTGCGTTCAGGCCACTAAAGAACTCTTTGCCTCAGAAGGTGCTTGTCTCTTCCATGTTTTTTGAGACACCCTAGAGCAATTACACTCTTACATTTAGGAAGCATTTCTTTAGCAAGAGGGTGGTCAAACACTGGAACAGGCTTCCTGGAGAGGTGGTTAACGCTGCAAATCGGTCTGTGTTTAAGGGGAACTGGGACAGTGCCTCTAATAACATGCATTAACTTTTGGTCAGCCATGAATTGGTCAGGCAGTTGGACTAGATGATTGTTGTAGGTCCCTTCCAACTGAAATAGTCTATTGTCATGGTTTGAGCTCAGAGGGCAACTGAGCACCACGCAGCTACTACACTCTCCCCTACCCCCCCAGCACTGAGAAGGAGAAAATAAAGCAAAAAGCGGGAATCAAGATAATGACATGAAGGGATGACTTACCCATTGTGGTCACAGATGAAAGACAGACTCACCGGAGGAGGATAAAAGAACACAAATTTAATTCAGACACTAACAACAACACTTAACAGACAGCGGGATGGTGAGAAGCATTACCACATCTCAAGAACACCTGCCCCCCCACACACCTTCTTCCCCCATTCAGATCTGCTCATGATCTCTCTACTTCCTCCCCCCAGTGCCGCAAAGGGCAGGGGAAGGGGGAGCGTAATCAGTCCTGCTGCTTCTTCCTCCCTAGGGTAAGGAGAACTCCTTTCATTTTCCCCTGCTCCAATATGCTCCCTTCTCACAGGAGACAGTCCTCCACAAACTTTCTCCAGCATGAGTCCCTCCCACAGGTTGCAGCATTTCCGTAGATGCTCTGGTGTGGATCCACCCAGGGTGTTGCAGTCCTCCCAGTGCTGAACTACAACAGCGGGGTCTTCTTCCCACTGAGTCTTGGTCTTCTTCAGGTGCAGCCACCTTCTCTGATGTGAGGTCCTCCACAGGCTGCAGATTGTCATCTGATGCACCATGGACCTCCATGGGTGGCAAGGGGGGCAGTTCTGCCATCTCACCAGGGGCTGCAGGGGGGCTCTGCACTGGCTCACCTCCCCCACCCTTCTTCTTCCTTCCACTGACCTCAGTGTTTGCATAGGTGTCTTCCTCACAACTCCTCCTCACAAGTCCCCACCCCCTCTTAGGTTCCTCTTCTTAAATATATTATCACAGTGGCACAGCTACAGTTGCTAATTGACTTGGCCCTGAACAGAGGTGGGTCTGATTTGGAGCTGGGGGAGCTTTCAGAAGCTCCTCACAGGGGGTCACCGCTGTAACCTCCGCTGCTACCAAAAACCCTGACACTCACACAAGCTCAACACATTGATTCTATTCTATTCTATTCTATTCTATTCTATTCTATTCTATTCTATTCTATTCTATTCTATTCTATTCTATTCTATTCTATTCTATTCTATTCTATTCTATTCTATTCTATTCTATTCTATTCTATTCTATTCTATTCTATTCTATTCTATTCTATTCTATTCTATTCTATTCTATTTTCTATTCTATTCTATTCTATTCTATTCTATTCTATTCTATTCTATTCTATTCTATTCTATTCTATTCTATTCTATTCTATTCATTTATCTGAGCCAAAGACAGACTGGAGTGGCTAAATCAAGTCACACAAGAATACACAACAGTGAAATAAAGGAACGTTTTGATGGTAAGAAGATGATCTTTCCCTCTAGGTGCTCCCTTCTCAGTGACAGGGAAAGTACCCAGCTTCCCCTGACATTAGGAGTAAGGCAGACACAGGCATGGTTGGAGCAGGGATAGATTATTGCCCTGCTCCTAGATGTTTTGATTACCTGCTTGACAGGTACCCCCAAATAGCCCTGTGTGCATGACTTGCCCCACCTTGATTTTTGGACTTTTCCCTCTTTTTTCTGCTCCAGAACTCTTCCTTCTTATCATCTTCATTCCTTCCAAAATAAGCAGCCCATCCACATTTGTTGATTGACCCCAGTTTTATTCTCCTAGGTCATTGGTATGGTAAAGCTAGTACCTCTTTTTTCTAAATCACAGTGTCCTGCAGATTTTTGTTTTGCTGTCTAATAACACTGGGGATCAAGGTGGAACAGATGCATAATCATTACTACCGGCTTTGTTATTTGTGAAATACTTCAATTCCTAATATTGTTATCTTGTTAGACATGCCACAAATCAGAGTAGACCACCTGAATGCACAAGAGCCCTTTGCTACTCTCTGTTCCTTTCTCCCTGTTAACACTGACAAATCTAGTGTTATTTGTGGTTTTGATCCCAGAAATGTCACCTGTACTCTACCCTTTCTGGATCACAACAATATTTTTCATTGTGTCTATTTTGCATTGCCATTACAATACATATCAATAGGGTTTGAGACTGGCTGAATTTTTCACCATTTATGTCTATATTAGTACACAAAAAAGGACTTGGTATCTCAAACTATTACAAAAATTGGGAGATGGATTGTGACCATACAGCTAACAGCCTCACCAAAATAGAGTGATTCCATCCACACTGCCTACTGGGAACATTTCCTGGCCCATGGTGTCCTCTAAATTATGGATGGGCATTGTCTGTTTGGGAGAGTGCCTGGTGTCATGGGCCAAAATTTTGCCAAGGAAGTTATGAATATTAAAAGGTGTGGATGATCATGTGTCAGTTCCTGCATCAATTCCCTGGCCTTGCTTGATTTTCTAGTATAGATGCAGTCATTAGGAGACATGATAAACACAGACAATTTGATCTCTAGTTTCTCTTTTGGTTCATAATAACATTATGCTACAGTCCTATTGCAAAGAAAATGAAGATATCTTTAGCATGATATTAAGGACAGACCATTTAGAAATGCATCCTGAAACGCGGGAAGTGATCCTATACTGACTGACTCAGTTTTTAATCCAGGACACATTCACGTTATTTCCACTGCCTACATGGAACTTTTCCAGAACCAGACCTGCGCAGGTCTGATGGAGGCTGTGGAGGAAAATAAATATTTAGATTTACTGCATAAAATTTAATTTTTCATTCAAATTATTATTCATGTGGGCCAATATCTAGACTTCCAAATGCAGCAATTCTTAAGTTTACATTCTGCAGATCACACAATACCATAAGAAGAATTAAATTATGTACATCTTTGCAAATATAATTATCAGAAAGAGAGGCAAAAAGGATAAAAGAGAATGGGAAGAAGAGAAGAGCATTGGCTTCCCTTTCAAATCCTGCACACAGTCTGCTCTATCCATATTCCATTCCAGCACAGGACAACATGACACCTGTGTATGGTATTAACCACATTCCCATTCTCCATTTGAATTATATCTTTCAAAATCTGGAATAAAGACACCAAGGTTTTACAATTTCCTTTTTCATCAGCATAAGAGATAGGACAAGTAATATAGGTGTTAATCAAGACTTCCATATAAAAAAAAGGAAATATTAAAAAAATTCCCGAAAGAGGCTCCCTTACACACACATTCCCCAAAAATCTGATTAAAAAAGAAAAAGAAGAAAGGAAAAAAAACACACCCACTCAACTTTCTGGTAAGACAGGCTTTTGGTTGTAGTAATAATAGCAACTTTCCAAGGGTTGCAGATCCTCTTTTTAGAGGAGTTGTTTCAGAGTCAGGGTCTCCTAATCACTCCAGCTCAAGCTTGGACACTAAGTTAATTTTTCTGCTATGTGGATTCTTTTCCTTTTGTTTTGGGTTTCAGATCCTGAAGAATCAGACCAGAATTTTCTGGAATTGCTCCACAGGGTCACATATTCAGAAATAATATAACACAGTTAACTACAAATAAAATCACTGGAAAATGAATTATTGTATTATGTGTAATATGAAATATTGTATTAGGGAAATCACAGAACTATTTGTCTGCTTCAAAGCAAATCAGGCTATGGTTGCTCTTGTTCCATACAAGAAAGCAGAGTTATGCATTTATCACCTAGGTACCCTGAAGGCACTAGCATGGATATAAAGAAATAAATTATATATTAAAGAAAGTTGGATTTTGGAGTATCTGAAAAAACCTCAATAAAACAAAATTTAAAAACCCAAACCCAAACAAAAAAAAACCCCAAGATTGTTAACTTCTGGCCCCAAAACTAACGTATTAGAACAAAGTGTAGATGATTAGAAAGAAAAAAACATTTAGGTGATAGTTCAGTCATTTGCTGTACACAAGATTTTCAAGATCATCTGTAATGGTAAATAAAGTTTTAGCACTTTAATTTATGATGAATGGAAATATTGTATTATTCAAAATATCTTCTAAAAGTAAAAATAATTAATAAATAATGTTAAATGATATTTAATAATATTTCAAACAGTGTTTAAATATATAAATAGATAAATAAATATTTATTTATTAGGTATGCACACAAAATTACTTGAAGGATTTAAACTAATAGAAAACATATTCCAGGTTCAAGTGATACTTTTCTACAGCTAAGTAAAATTCTGAAAGAATTGACATTTGAAGCATTTGATTTTGCTTTGCCTTTTCTACCAGGATATTGCTATCAATAACTGAGTACAGTTGTAAACAGTATCCCTCCAAAATCCCCTTCTTCCTCATCTTTCCCTTTTATAAATTCAATAAACCGAGGGCTAGCTCCAAGTAAATACACAGATAGATTTAAGGGAGCCTCAGTTAAAGATGGCAATCTGCAGCACTCTCTTGGGATATGAGAAAGGTGGGTTTGAGCCCTTGCCATCCTTGAGGATGGAATTTAGCCAACAACGCTGTTTTCTTAGTGAATATGCCAATCTTTACACTACTACACGTGCACACACAGAGATGCAAAGGGAAATTTTGCAGAAGCACATACCTGTGAACTTCAGTTTGTTTCCCAAGTGTGTTTGTGAGAGACACAATTCAAACATACCCCTTCTGACAGGGACAGACTGGCGCAGCATGCTGCCTTTTGCTGCTCCTGTGTGAAATACCTACTCATGTTCATTTCCAGCACAGTGAACCTGTGCAACTGGGGACTGTGAATTTGTTTCCTGGAGGAAAAGATGCCATTGTTAAACATTGAAATGCTCAGTGTGGCTACATCTACATTCTCTGTGAATCTGGGACAAAACCAAGGAACCTGAATCAAAGCATTGCCAAAATCATTCATTCGCATTCTCCAGGCTTTGTGAGTGTGCAAAATATGCATGCACATTGTGCTCAATTTCTTGGGGGGAAAAAAAAAAAAAACAAAAATGGAAAATGTTTGTTCCCTCTTTACCTAAAATGAGAGGAGGGTCCCACTAGTAACAGCACTTTGTTAGTGACTTTTGTTTTCAAGCCAGCTGCAGAAAATGATACACTAGAATATGTCAGCATGCTTTATCACCACCATAACCAAATGACACAAAAAGAAAAAGAGACAAGTAGTGAGAGTGGGTAACTAGCACAGGAGAATGTTCTAACTGCTAAAATAATCTTAAAGCTCAGCAAAAAATTATGTGAAAAGCCTCAGGAAGCAGTCTCATTTTGTCAGCTTGGTTTCATGGTAATTACAGTAATAATAAAACTAATTACATCACATAACACCTCTGTGAGGCAGGTGAGAAATGCTGGCAGGGAGGTAATGTCAAGATAGCAGCTGAACATGCATAATAGGGAAGCCAGATGAAGCTCTTCTAACAGTTCCCATCTAACCATGTACAGAGATCTAAAAAAGGAGAGATAAGTGACTAGAAAAATTACTTTTCTAGAAAAGCAATCCTAAGATACTTCAAGTGATTATTGTTTGTTTCATAAAGGCTTGTAACTACAAAAGGAGACAAAGAGAATTCTTGAATGTCTGAAGTAACCAGTTAAAGTGATTGCGCTAACAGCTTTGATTATCAGACAGTCAAGGCTAGGCAACGTGGTTGAGAGAGACATGAGATGATACAAGAGGTTGCTGATGCTCAGAGAAGTCCCATACCATTTTATCCTCCTCCCTTCCTTGCTGTTTGAGGTGACTCAAGCATCAATGTGGCTTCTTAGTTTCTTACAAGAAAGCTGGCAGAACATTCTTCTAGTTTTGGTGGGTTATTTTCCTGCCTGTTTAATGATTTAAAACAAATCACAGAAGAGCCAAACAACTAACAGCTGGTGTTAACAGGGAGGTATGAATGTGCACCTGGGAGCAGCAGTAGCAAGAGTGGGATTGTGGGGCAGGAGACATGGGGGAACTGCACATTTTCTGCATCAGGTAATCATTAGACATGTTCACCTAACAGAGCCTGTCTCTGTATGGTACTGGTACAAAGAAGAGAACATATCTGGGATCCCTTCCATGCCTGCCAAAATTAGATATTGTGATTATGTTTCTCTAATGACAGTACTCAGGTGCAAGATCTGACTGAATCATTGTGTGGTGTCTTGAATGTTGCCACCACATAACACACAGATGCCAAAGGCCATGTGAGTGCCACCAGTAGCACATTGTTCAATACAGCATTGTCAAGTACAGCCCAGTGCAATCTATGCTAAATCATTCACCTAAATTCCTTCTGCAGCCAGCTGACAAACCCCTCTGTAAGTCAATTAAGTGCCCTAATTTCAGGTATCGCAGACTTCTGATGGGAAGAAATCCTATCCATTAAAGTTACTTCAGATTACTTTCATATGTGATATATTAGTTTCTTGCCTCTAAAACATGAATAATAGCACTTCCATGCAACAAGGTAATAAGAGCATGTTAGTAAAAGATAGTGGAAGATCAGACAGCACTCCAAGGCAACTTGTTAGCTGGTGAACTAAGCAGGGCCCAGGATCAATTCCAAGCACGGGAATTGAGTCGTCCATATTAAATTCATGGAAATGTCCCTGGTATGATTTTGGCAGCATTCCCAGACAATTCCTGGGCATAATTTAGATGCCAGCACTCCCAATAAAGAACATCATCAAGGCCATCTTGTCTAGAGTTAGACTAGTATGGATTAAAGTCTCTTTGTGCTGCGACTAGGTTCAATGTCAGGGTTCATAGCAAGGAGTACTTTGCAGTTTTAGACATGCTGTGCAAGTGTACCATTGATCCCCAGCTGTATTTAATAGAAGTGATTGGAGGTGTCTGTTGTCATGCACACTTTCTTCACAATGTGGAGTTAAAGGCATAGCTCTTGCTCAGCTTTCTTCATTTATGGATGTCTAAGCAACTGTACTAGGTTCACATGGCAAGATTTTGGTAGCAGGGGACTGCAGGGGTGGCTTCTGTCAGAAGGCACCAGAAGCTGCCCCCATATCTGACAGACCCAATTCCAGACAGCTCCAAGATGGACCCACTGCTGGCTGAAATTGAGCCAATCAGTGACATACTGCCTCTGTGATAACATATTTTAAAGAGAGGAAAAAATGCTGCACAATAGCATCTGAGGGAATGAGAAAATGTGAGAGAAACAGCTCTGCAAACTCCAAGGTCAGTGAAGGAGGAGGAGGAGGAGGAGGAGGTGCTCCAGGCACTGAAGTAGAGATTTGCCTGAAACCCCTGGTGAAGACCATGCTGATGCAGATTGTCCCCCCACAGCCCAAGGAGGACCACAAAAGAGAAGATACTGATCTGCAGCCCATAGCAGACACCACACCAGAGCAGGTGGATGTGCCCTGAAAGAAGCTGCAGCCTGTGGAGAGTCCATGCAGGAGCAAGGTCCTGGCAAGAACTTGTGACCTGTAGAGAAGAGCCCACTCAAGTGCAGTTCATTTCTGAAGGACTGTGTCCCATGGAAAAGACCCATACTGGAGCAATTCTTGAAGAATTGCAGCTCATGGGAAGGACACACACTGGAGAAATTTGGGAAGCACTGTATCCCATGGGAGGGAACCCACACTCGAGCAGTGGAACAATGTGAGGAAGAAGGAGCAGCAGAGACAAAGCATTAGGAACCGACTGCAACCTCCATTCTCCATCCCCCCTGCACCTCTTGGTGGGAGGAGGTAGAAAAGTTGAGAGTAAAGTTGAACCTGGGAAGGGAGGGGTGGAGGAAGCTGAGTTTGGTTTAGTTTTTATTTCTCTCCATCTTGTTCTGTTTAATTAGCAATAAATTAAATTACTTTCCCCAAGTCAAGTCTGTTTTGCCCATGATGTTAGTTGGTGAGTGATCTCCATGTCCTTTTCTTGCCCCATAATATTTTTCCCGCTGTCCGGTTGATGGAGGAGGAGTGATAGAGCAGCTTGGTGAGCACCTAATCAACTCACCACAGTAACTTCAAAGAAAACATAACTTTTGGAGCTGCATTTTTAAAAATAAGTTTTCTTAGCACACCAAAACTTGGAAATATGAAGAGTAGTGAACTTTTAATCATGATCTGAGAAAAAAGTTAAAAAGTTCAGTGTACAAATGTTAAAAATATTGAAATCCTGGGAAGGAAGAAATATGGACAGGTAAGTCAAAACATTTCAGTTTGAAAATTTGAGAGGATGTGCTATCAATCTGGTATGCATGACAATATAAACTAATCAGAAATTCAAAATAAAAAGTTTTTAAAAACTGGGGGGGAATATGTCCCTAGGAATATATTGTAGTTTCCAGAACTTCATTTCTCAAAATATGACTGAAGATATCAGTCATAAAATGTTTTTGCCTCCAGAAATGTAAGTTTCTAATAAATTGATATTCTCTATTGGAGAAAAAATTATGGTAAAAATGAATTACCGACCAGCTGTGGCAAATATCAGGCTTTCATTGTACATCTTGGGAATTGGGGCACAAAACAAGAAATAATTGCAAAGGCCGATTAACAGAATTAAATCTTTACTAGCAGCTGCTATTATTTTGAAACAGTGATCCAGAGCCAATGGCAGGGAACAGGAAAAATGCAGTTATTTCCTTCTGCCTCTGAAATCAAGACTTTAATTCAACACCTCGTGGGTTCAAATTTGTTGGTCAAGACTTGTGAGACTGTGGCTGGTTTTGGTTGGGATAATTAATTTTCATCATAGTAGCTAGTATGGGGCTAAGTTTGGGATTTGTGACCAAAACAGTGTTGATAACACAGTGATATTTTAGTTACTGTTGAGCAGTGCTTACACAGACTCAGGGTCTTTTCTGCTTCTCACACCACCCCACCAACAAGTAGGCTGGGGGTGTACAAGAAGTTGGGAAGTGACGCAGCTGGCACAGCTGACCCCAACTGACCAAAGGGATGTTCCATACCATATGGCATCATGCTCAGTATATAAGTCTGGGAGAAGAAGGAAGGAGGGGATATTTGGAGTGATGGTGTTCGTCTTGCCAAGTAACCATTATGTGTGATGGAGCCCTGCCTTCCTGGTGATGGCTGAACACCTGCCTGCTGATGGGAAGTGGTAAATGAATTCTTATTTTGCTTTGCATATGCGCACAACTTTTGCTTTACCTATTAAATTTTTATTTCAACCTGTGACTTTTCTCACTTTTACTATTCTGATTCTCTCCCCCATCCCACCATAGATAAGGCTCCACTTGGAACAGGTACACCCCTAAGGCATTGCAGTCTGTGGATAAGTCCAAGATGGAGCAGGAGCAAGGGTAGGAGTCCATTGCAATGTTAAGCCCTATGGTCTGGTCCAAAGGGACCAGGGGCAAAGTTTGTAATGGAAACATATTTAAATTTTTGTAACTGGGGATCTGAGTTATTTTCTTCTGTCTCTGAAATCAAGCTTTTAATTCAACACCTCATGGGTTCAAGTTTGTTGGTTAGGACTTGAGAGAGGAAGGCAGTTGCAGTGTTCCATCGAGGGCAAGTTTCATCAAGTGGATATGGGGAAAAGCCTTTTACTGTACCTTACTAAGTAAGGTAAGTAAGTTCCTTACTAACATCAGCAAGGAAGAAAGTTTCATAGGAGGGTAATTTCATTGCTGTAATCTATGCAACTTCATTGTACAGTTTGTTTTAAGCTGGTTCAACTTAATTAGAAACTTTGTGTGATTGCCCACTACTTGCTGTTTTCTACGGTATTTTCTCAGTACACTGTTGATAGCTTTTAGCAACACTTCTTTTGTACTTCAGTAATATCAAAACATCAGAGAATACAGTGGGAAGGAGAAAGGGATAAGTACTATGTTTGTGCTTTCTCTCTCTAGCTCTCAGTATTACACTGTGGTACTTACCAACCTCATCAGCCTCTGTACTGGATGCCTTAACTCCCCACACAACTTTTGTCCTTTTCTACTTTCTTGTCCATGACTGGATACACAAAGAAAAGACACAAGACTTCAGTACTGAGCAAGAGAGAAACATGTTTTGAGTATCAGTAATATCATCCTGAAGCAAATAAATCTGTGCTTGATTAGTCTCAGCAACATCTACTTCAAACATATCATTTAATATGACGTGAAGTTTTCTGTTCATGGACAATTTTCTTCCTGAAAATTACCAGGTGATTTGACAAACAAGCAAACTAAAATTAAACAAATGCCTTTTTTGTCTTTATGAGAAAGATTCCTAGGGAGGTTACTATGCACACAAGTCCCAGTCAGGAGTTGTCTTTGCAAGAAGAAGGTCAAGCCTGTACTGTCTCAGAGGAGAGCTGCCCTGGCCAACTCCATAGTAGCACTGTGTGGCTATGTCTTTATGGTGAGGTGGGCTCAGGTCCCATGGTTCCCCTGTGGGCTAGCAGTGAAGATCTGGGGCTTCCACTCAGGTGACCTTGACTGGACATGTGGTGTGGACCACCTTGAAGGAAAAGAAGAAAGCAGACTGCTTTCTGGAACATCCTCACTCCCCAAGGCAGCATGAACAGATGTAGGCTGCTACAAAGTGGGCAGCTGTCTCACTACTTTCTTTATAAGTGAATTGCCAAATGTCCCTGGGACATGGATGTTACTTGACAACAAAAATGTAAATGCACTCTTTAAAAGAGTCAGGTTGAGTGCTCCAAGTTCAGACGATTAAGATGATTGCAGAAAACCTCAGCAAGAGCCCAAAAGAATTGTCTCTACTCTTCTGGTCAGCTGCATTCAAGAGTGATACATTCCAACAGGAACATGTTCAGAGAAAGGCAACTAGGAAGACCCAAAGAATACAAAAAGCTGTTGCAGAAAGGGAGACTCAGAAAACTGTCTTTTACCTTAGATAAATGAAGATTAGGTGGGGATTGGAACGTACTCAAGAGGGCAAAGCATTAAGAAGGGAAAAGAACTACTTAAGTTAACTGTCAGTGTTGACATGAGAAGAAATGGTGTGCATTTAAGCTAGAAAATAGAAGGATTCTAGTAATCTAAGTGATATCTAAAATAGCTTTTCCACAAGGTGTATAGGGACCACAAGCCAATCTAGTTTTAAAATTGAATTTCTGAGATTATGAAAAAAAAAATTTGTGAGGTGGTTACTTACTTTAGGAAGCCACAAGATATGATGGCTCCCAAAGTCACATACATTTCTACCCACCAAGTGAAAGAGAATGACTGTGCTTTCCCTCACAAACTTCATGAATTTACAGGATTTCATCTGGCAGTTGTGGTGGCACATACTGGGTTTTTGTCATACAGTTGCTAGCACAGATGTAAATATATTGCTGTTTTCACAGGAAACAATAAAGCTGGTATTAATGCCTCAAGCAAATTTTAACAGATATACATTATGGTAACATATGTCTGAGTCATACTGTCCAGTGGACTTGGGACTAAAATTCTGGGGAAAATATCACAGAATCACAGATTTTAAAATGGTTGAGGTTTGAAGGGACCCTAGAGGACATTTTGTCCAACTCCCTTGCTCAAGCAGGGCCACCTACAGCCCTGTGTCTGGAGGGCTTTTGAATGCCTCTGACAAGGAAGACTCCACAACCTTCTGAGCAATCTGTGACAGTGCTCAGTCACCTTCACAGTAAAAAAAGTTATACTAATGATTCAGACATGTTCAAAACTGGTGTTGTAATCTGTACCTAGAGTTTATGAACTGCTGTACCCTACAGCATTTGTAAAGATTACAATTGGGAAAGAAGCTGATTTTACTTCTACCATAAATGTAAGAACTACCTTAATAAATTGAAAGAATTACACTGCAGTGTAGGTTAGACTGTTCTAGCAGATTCTAGCATAACAGTGAAATAGTAACCAGTGTGATTAAGTTTAGCTACTTGGAATATAACAATTTTTAATTTTACCAGAATATAAACAATTACCAATTGTTTTTGGTAATCAGTCATCTACATTTCTCATATCTGACAGAATAATCGCAGTTTATTCACTGGAATTTCTTGCTGGTGCACAGACATAGGCTTGGGCTAAGGAAAATATATAAGACCATAGCACGATAAAAGCAGAATGAAAATTAATATGGAAAATGAATCAAAAAATTTTGGATCAAAAGCCAGATTACCTTGACTTTCTAATAACTTTGACAGAAGCTAGATGGGGTTCCTACATGCTACTAAACCATAATCATCATGGCCAGTGCTCTCCTCTATAAAGTGTAACACTATAAAGCCCTTACTGAAATAAAGTAAATTTTAAAATGTCTTGTTTTCTGCAGTATTACAGAGAGAGAAATCTTTTTCTTCTCCCCACCCCTGGAAAAGAGATGAAAGAAAGTGGTGCCCCAGACTTTGTACAGAGCAATGCACTACACTGATAAACACAAAATATACACATTGAAGCATAGGATCAGAGGGAATTTGTAAGGAAATCCCTGCAGTGGAGTTAAAATAAATCTTGTAACTAACTTACTCCATAACCATGACTTATGCTATTGAGGTCTCAGTGCCCATGCTCAGGCATGTGGGGCTGCAGGGCGGTCTGTGTGGGGAGAGTCCGGGGCTGCCCCGGGCCAGACACAGCCGGTCCCAGCCGGTCCCAGGCGGCTCCAACGGCCCCAGCGCAGGACACAGCTGAGCCCCTCAGCCAAGCTGGGGGCGCCGGGGGGAAAACAGGTTTCAGCAAGGGCCAAAGGCGGCCCAGGCAGAGGAGGAGGAAGAAGCCAAGGAGGGAGCAGCAGCAGAGGGACCCCGAGGCCGGAGGAGGGCAGGAGGGGCTGCAGGCCCGGAGCAGGGATCCCCTGCAGCCCTGGAGAGACCCCGCTGGAGCAGAGACCCACCCTGCAGCCCGGGGAGGGCCCCACGCCACAGCGCAGCGGGGGGATATTTCCTGCAGGAGCTGCGGCCGTGGAGAGCCCAGGCGGGAGCAGGTTGTCCCTGAAGGACTGCGGCCCGGGGAAGGGCCCGCGCTGGAGCAGGGAGCCGGGGGGGGAGGGAGGAGCGGCCCAGAGGGGCTGGGATGGGCTGGCCGCGACCCCCGGCCCCTGCGCCCCGCGGGGCAGAGGAGTCGGGAGGGGTGAAGGGTGAGGGTGGGAATGGGAAAGGGAAGTGAGCCTGAAGGTGCTGTTTTAATGGTTGTCTGTTTATCACCATCCAACTTTTGGCAGAAAATTTAATTAATTTTCCTCAACTAACGTCTCCTTTGCCTGTGATGGTAATTGGTGAGTGATCTCTGCCTTTTTTCCAACCCATGAACTTTCCCATCTTATTTTCTTCCTCTGTCTTTTTGAGGAGTCAGAATGAGAGAGCATCTGATTTCAGCCTGTAATATTAGTTTTAGATTCAAACAAGAATAAACTAGCCAAAGGAAAAAAAAAAAAATTGGAAGACATTGGCTGTCATTTGTTTTTCTGTGTTTTTGACTTTGAAACTGTTGAATTTCACAGGAAGAAATCTCAGAGTCCAGTCTAGAAAAGTAGGACTAAGCACTTTAAAGCACATGGTGTGTGCTTGGTGTTGTAACTGTTCCCAGTGAATTTGGAATGTCTTTTCTACCTTATGCCATATCAAGGAGCCTATCCAGTATATTTCAGCTTGCAGATCAAGAGACAATGGAAAGTCAAAGAGGAGAATTCTGGGTAGAGGACTAAGTTGCTGACAAAGGGCAAAGTTTAAATAAAACATGTTCAGTGGAGTTGAATCAATACTTTATTTGTTAAGGAGAAGTAAAAGTACAAAAAAGCTTGTACAACTAGGAATAAAAAAGTGAGAAATCAATTCTAGTTAATTCAAAATGCTTGAAGAGTCACCTATGCCATTATGTATGAATAATTCAGGAACATAAATTTATTGCAGACACATATTGTTTGGTTTGGATTTAGTTTTGTCCCTCGTTTGACCTGAATCCTGTAAAGAATGTTATTCAACTAATTGAAATAACATTTTGCAAGTAAGACAATACCTTAGGGATATTTCAAGACTGATCCTGAAATAAAATTTGAAATGTCTGATAAAGTTTATATAAATAATGTTATTTTACAGTGTGTTAAATATTGTACGTGAGGGTCTTCATATGCCAGTTGTCTTTGCCTGTTGAAAGCAGATCAGATTTCTTTCCCCCTTTCTCTCTCAATACCTCCATATTTCTCTGAATAGCAGACTTGGTTTCTCTTGGTAAGTGTTGATCATGTTTGGGAATATTTACAGCCTTCCATCTTTCATTCACAAAAGGATTTTTTACAAGACATTATTGAAAATAGCTGAAATAAACCACAGTGGTACAAGATGTTTTCCGATGGAATCTACACAAGCATATTATTGCACGGATATCTGAAACCATAGAAGACATTGGCTATGCTTGTGTTTCAGTGACTACCTGTGTTGCAGTCACTGCAATGATCTCTCAAAAAACAAGCAACATGGAATCCAATATGTTTTATTACTGGCTTTTATCTGCATTATACTAGCATTTATTTGTTCTAGTGTAGGTCTATGTCTATGAACATCTCCAAATTGAAAGTATAGATGGATATAAAAAACAAAGCAGCAACCTCAGTGACAAAAAGTTATCATCACAAGTTCAGAGTTACATTCAAGTCCAGTGTCAGTTCTGTGCTTAGAAAGCAGCCAAAAGAAATAATTTTGCAGTGTGCTCACTAAATAGCTGACCTCAAAGAGGAAATTAAATTCAGTCACACACAGCAGGACTCTATTCATTGAACAGAAGATGTTCAGTGAATTAAATTTATTCAGATACAGGTTTTCAGGAAATGTCTACTGTAACTCATAAAACTTATTGCCACCCAACATCAATGTCTCCATTGACATCAGCCAGCTTTTGATATAGCCTGTGGCTAAGGTCTGAGAAATTCAGATGCTTAATTTCAGATTTAAGAATTGATGCACACAGTTGCCTTCCAGATGGTGTAATCCCCAACATAGTCTTATCCTTGGTGCACATAAAACTCATTGGTACCTCTCTGGTGGCTCTGAATATTCCTTGCACGTCTTCACTCACATATACATTCATTCAGAAATAGTCAACATTTGCACTTATACTCTGTTGTATTACCACTGCTACTTGTTGTGGTTTAGGCCTGATTGGCAGCCAAACACAATGCAGCAGCTCTCTCTCCCTTCCCCTCCGGCAATGAGAAAGGACAGAGAACCAGGCTTGAGGTTCAAGATAGGACTGGGATGGGGGAAAAAATCCCCCTTTTATGATCACGAGCAAAAAGCAGACTCGTTAGGGGAAGAAAAAAAGAACATACATTTATTACAGACACTAACAACACATAACAGAGTAAGACAGTGAGAAGCATTGCCACATCTTGAGAACACCTTCCCCCCACCCCTCCCTTCTTCCTGGGCTCAGTTCTGCTCCCAATATCTCTACCTCCTCCCCCAGTGACGCAGGGGCAGGGAATGGGGGGTGCAGTCAGCGCTGCCACTTCCTTCATCTTCGGTCGGTGAGGGGAGTGTCCGAAACTTGTTCCTCCTGCTCCATCGTGGTCCCCCTCTCACAGGAGACAGTCCTCCACAAACTTTCTCTGACTTGAATTCCTCCCATGGGCTGCAGTGTTCCCCACACTGCTCCGTCATGGGTCACTAACTTCCTCCGACTGGATTCCCTTCCACGGCTGCAGCCCTTCCCGAGCTGCTCAGGCGTGGGACTCCCCCGCATGCTGCAATCCTCCCAGCACTGAATTACAGCAGCAGGGCTACCTTTTCCCATGAGACCCTGGCCTTCTTTGTGCACAGAACCTTGATCATCAGAGCAGGAGCAACAGGCCATAAATCAATGTCTGCTCCACCGTATATCTTCATGGGTGGCAGGGGGGGGCCGCCCTGCCGTCTCACCACAGGATACAGGGGGGTCTCTGCTCCGGCACACCTCCCCCCTCCTTTCTTCCTCCGTTCCTTCACTGACCTTGGTGTTCATGCAGCTGCAGTAACTCCTCCTCCCAAGTCCGACTGCCCGTCACCACGTCCCTTCTTAAATACGTTATCGCAGAGGCGCAGCTGATTGTCTCAATTTTCCAAACAGAAGTGGAGCTGACTTGGAGCTGGGGGAGCTTCGAGAAGCTTCTCACAGGGGGCCGCCCCGATAGCCCCCTCCCCTGCCACCAAAAATCTCCACCATTCACTCAACCCAGGACACTACTATTTTCCAAAGCTGCCTTATTTTCTTTTAGTTGATTGCATCAAACAGGCCGCTGCTGTACTTAGATGCCAGTGGTGTTATCTTGTTATTTAGTGGTCTTCTGTGAACAACCTCTTGCTTAGGATTTTGATTTATGTGAGGCTCAGAGCAGGGACCATCTCTATATTCTGACCTTTCTGAGGACCTAGCACAGAGTCCATGTGTGAGACTTATAGGTGCCACACCAATGCACTTACGTAGGCACCAAATACATTGTAGGAAGTAGGATGCACTCTGTTGACTAAGAACTACACAGAACACCATCACAGAAGCATGGTTTCTACCCCAAAAGTAAATACTTAGCTGCACTTTTGTTACTGCTTCACTGAAAATTGTGTCCAAGATGGCAACTTTAAACTTTGCACAGTGAGGACATTAAGAGCTCTGCTTGTCTAAGAAAAGAATAAGAACAAAATCAAGATCTGAGAAAAGCATTTTATCCTCAATCATTATGATGCTACAGAGGACTACAGCAAACCAGAACCAGAGTTTTCACATGAACTTTGCAGTTATAATAGTAGGCAGTAAAGTTCAGAACTGAAATAGTAGGGTGTCCTGGAAAAATCAAAGTAACTGAAAAAAAATACCCCACCAAAATACTTTCAGTGAGCATGAGCTGAGTGGCTTGTGAATAAAACTGTAATTATACAAAATGTTTTTTATTGAGGCATACATCATTATCTTCTGGGTATATTATTCAGTGATTCACAGTCTAAAGAAACTTTAGTAATTTATCACTTATGAAACAATTCTCAAAAAAAATTGTCTTGTTTTTGTATTCTGTGGGAAGTCCTGTATACAGCAAAAAAACCTTTTGAGGACACACAGGCAAATTATATTTAATTTTGTTAACAGAGGTAAAATGCAGAGCAATAATCTCACTTGAGACTTTGCGAGCTCTGCTAACTCCTGATGCTATTAATCCAAGTCATTAAAGTAATTTTAATCTGGCTGGAGCAGGCAGTGTGAGAACATACAGTAATTAAGAAAGAGAAGGAAAACCAGTTTTACCATAAACTGGTTAGCATTTTTTCATTACATTATTTGTCTCAGCATAGCAATTTGCCGATTTACTCCATGTATACATTAATTTTTTCCCACAGAGTGTTAGGTACACATTCTGTCCTAGAATAAGAGCTGTCTTTGTTTTTACCATTTTAATACTGCCATTAGAGAAACAAGTATAGGATAGATTTCTTCAGATTATAGTGCTTCTTGAGAACTGTTTGAAAGCATGTTTACTTAACCAGCACTGTTCCTGAATTATCTCTACAATATTCAGGGTATTTTAGGTGCAAATGTGAAAAGTTTTTTTATCAAAATGTCTTGGGATTATTAAATTTTGTCTCTACAAAAACAGTGGGTTTGAAACTACAGATATCTGCTCAAAAAGGGACAAAATCTGGTTTCTCAGGGAAAAAAAAAAAAAAAAAAAGTGTTCAGATAAAACATCTCTATTCAAGCAAGGTTAAGCACAAGGGCCATATAAGTTTTGGCACATAACTGAACTAGCTAATTTAGGGATATAATGTCCCTACACTCATTAAAATGAATGGAGAGAGATAGGAAATCAATGGAAAAATATAGGACATTCTAGAGGTCATTTGGATTTCAGGTTGGTAGCATCAATCTTTTTTTCTATAGAGTATAGAGGAAGCCTAAGATGACTATATTCCTATCTCACACATTTCAGTCAGGTGCTCAAAGTCCAGTGAGAAGGGTGTGGGAATAGCCTTTACTGAAATAAAAGGAAAAGCTCCTGTGGACTTCAGCAATGGACAGGATTAAGGCTTCAGTCAAACCTTCTGCCTTGAGCAGAACCAGACGGCAGCATTTACTTGCTCATTGCTCCAGAGAGAAGACCATGTTGACCCTGTTGAAGTCATGGTTATGCAGAGATATTGATAAGCAAATTAAGTGTTTAGCTCCATTTTTTGTGGTGTTGTTTTGTTTGGCTTTCTTTTGTTTGTTATGACTTCCATGATTCAGTGAGGGACATATAATGTGCAGGGTTACTGGAGAAGTTGCATACACCATGAATGCTAAGCCTTCTCTGCCTTCCTGTCTAGGACATTTGGACTTTCAAAATCTGCTAGTGAACATCATGCTCAGCAGCTCTTGTGCTTTAGAACTGGTTCTTCCTTTTGTTTGGTTGGTTGTTTTGGTTGTGTTTGTTTGTTTGTTTGTTTGTTTTTATTTTGGTGCTGTTTTTTGTTTGTTTGTTTTGGTTTGGTTTGGTTTGGTTTTTTTCCCCCTCTCTGGAAATATCCAGTTATTGGGAATTTCATATTCAACCCTTTTGACCAGCACATACATTTCCCGTTTTGCACGACACATACATCTATAATTTTATCAGTATAGTCAAATTAATACAAATGTTAATCGTTTATTGGCTCAGTAGCACCAGTAACCATGGGAAATTAGAGATACTTTCTTACTAACCAGAGAAACCTGATATTTGATACAATGAAGTGCATATATAATGTATCCGTTAGCTAAATAAAAATAAACACACAGATAAAGAATATAAATTGGATGACTATACCTGTTCTTTCTTCTGCAGGAAATCCTGTGTAGAGATGATACTTACAGTTCTACAGTTCTGAAGATAGTTTCTTACCAACCTGATAAGCTGCTGTCATGTATGGGTCCTCCTGAGAATATCTGTGAGGGTAGACTGATAATATTAATGTTGTTTTCAGGTATCTGAAACTGGCTTTCTCTGCCAATATCTGCCCAGTACACAGTGTGTGCATTAGGAACTGTCTCTATCCTCTCTGATTACAGCTTTACTAATAAATTAAATAGCAACTGAGATTATACCCTGACACCATAATACAATTGTTAATTTTTTTTTATTTTTTTTTTTTTTTTTTTTTTTTTTTTAATGTACTTCTAAACAGTTGGAATGATCTCCTGCTTTGAAAAGCATCATTCTCCCACACAAGTCCCAGTAACAGCTCTGATGTTAGTCTGGTTGGGAACCATTAACAATAAACAGTTAGAGACTGTCAACTTGGTTTTGAAAGCTGTGAGTCCAACAGCACAGATGTGGGCTTTTCCATGCCAGTTGCTCTCAGTGCCTGGAAAAGTTCCTAAAGGTATTTTCTGGTATTAGACATAGCCTCTATGTCTCAGCTGGGGAACACAGCTTTGAAAGAAATTGTGGTGGGTTTTTGGGCCAGTTGTTACCTACAGATGTCAGATATCTCAGAAGCTAGTCTAGCTTGAAATCTTCAAAGAACAAAGGCAGTTTCAGGGATCCTGGAGACAGACTTTTTCTAACAGAACCAAGTTATCCTAAGGCTGGAATTCTAGGGAAGAAAGAAGGGTTGGTTGCATCTCTTTCAATTACTAAACATCTGACTGTTTGTCCCTAGAAATCCATTACAACTTCTAGAATCGCATTCATTTTCTGTGGAGTTTCAAAATTTGTCTATCTTCTTAACCTCGATTATTTTACAATGTTTTTTTTTTTGTTTGAAAACAGCTTCTGTATTCTACCTCACAATTGAGGCATTCAGGGTTTCTGTACAAAACACATCCTTCAAACAAACCCTGTTTTGATCAGTTTCAGTACAGTGTCTTCTAAGATGAAGGTCCTAGGTGCTCACTGTAACTTCTAATATTGGTACTAGCATACATATGAATATACACACGTGAATATACACATACCCACAGAGGCACATACCTAAGTTTTCTTTTAAAACAGCTCCTCTGTATTAGCAAAAGCCCCAGATCAGTAAGGCATTATCATTATGATGTTGTTTCTCCCCTAAGGAAATAAGACTGTGAAGAAATTTTTCTTCATGTATTAGTTATAGTCCTTCATAACGATGCATATAAATATAGTATTAAAGAAGGTGACAGTTTTTATTACAGTCATATGTTATTGTCTGCAAAATCTACTTCTGTAAGAATTTCAGGTTCTCAGAGGCAGATCCTACTGTTCAAAGCGCTTCTACTCTGAAAACTGAGACCTTCCTCTTTTCTCACCTGCATGGTACTGTTGAGTTAAGGATCACCAGCCAACTCCCTTCCTTCATGAACTGAAAAACCGGGAGACCTGTCACAGGGAGATGTCAGCAGGAAGGCAGACACCTCCATTCTCTAGCTGAGTGATCAAAGGGCCTAAGGAAACACTGTCCTCCAAAACTCATAGGCCATTAGGATCTGAAGGAAATATTTAGTCTTACTCTTTGCCATAGGCTTGTACTCGGGGTTAGCTAGCTGGACAGTTAACTCCATTGTCCCCACAAAAAAAGGTTTGTTGTTTTTTTTTTTTTTTTGTTTTGTTTTTGTTTTTTTTTTGTTTTTGTTTTTTCAATACATGTAGATTAAAGTAGTTTTCATTATTTGTTCCTCAGGACCCCACTATTCATCTTTGTTAAGAAGAAATTGTATAAAGTTATCTTACTGACCTTCTCTTCCTCTTTGAATCCTCTTCTGCATCTGTCTTCATGACTCACTGAAGCCTGGTCCTACATTCAGAGCGTGGGTGTCTGCAGGCAGCTGCAGCCACTCCTTTCCCTTCGAGCCCCCCTCGCAAAATGCTGCAGCTGAACGCTGGCCAGTGATGCCCAGTGACTTCTCATCTGCACTTCCTATTTGTCAGAGACAGCAAGGCACACAGCAAGACCCAGTAGCCTCTTAGACACAAATGTGACACCCATGGCACAATTAAAATAGACAGATTGTGAACATGTGGCTTTCCTGCAGAAATGAGGGATGGCCACATGTTCACTTGTGATGTCCAGGCTTTATAGAAGTGGGTTAGAGGGAGTCTAGATTAGCTTTTTCTCTATAAAGAGAAGTGGAAACTAAATTAAAATAAAACCAAAAAAAAAACAGCCAAACAAAAAGCCAAAAGAAATCCACAAAGCATAAGATGAAATGCAACCTTAAACCACATGCTGTAAAATGTAGATAATTGTCTTTACTCTTTGAAACAGAGATTGCATGGGCGCTAATTGGCCCACTGAATTTACACTGCCTATAAGTGTTAAATCCCTTGGCTGTTATGGGTTATAGGCTCAAAGCCCAGCAACTCTATTGAATGCCAATCAGTATAAAACGGTTTGTCATCTACTCAGACTCATACTAGGATAATAACATTAGTGCTCCTTCCCCAGTCTTTTTAGGTTCTGCCTTCCTTGCTCAGAGGAGAAATAAGGTTTACTACGGTCTTCACTTCCATCAGTGCTGTTGTGAGCAGTGCGTAGCAAGATCTCTTTCCTTTTTTATCTTCACTCCTTTTACTATAAAATGGCACTTCCTTAACTCAAACATAAATAAACTCCCTTGTGTAGATGAAGGGTTTGTCTGTATTATTACTTTCCTGAGACCAGAATATTCATGCATTGCAGTGGTAAAGTATCCTTGATATTGGTACAGGTAAACAGCACTGACTAAAGAAACCTGTGACAGGCACAGAAGGATTTGGCCTGCCTTTACCTAAGGAACTTCTGCCAGCTCACATTTGACAGTCAGATGTCAGCCCTATTGCTGCTCTTCCCACTGAAGCTGTGCCAATGGAAGTCCATATAAAGATGCCTTTTTGGAAGTAAAACAGTTCCTTGATTGACAGGAAGGGTTATCAGATATTTGCATGCCAAGGCGACTGCATGACCATTCAAAATGCAGCTACACATAAACTAGATCTACCTGTAGGGCAGAACTCATTCTGTGACAGTGTAGGATTTGGCAAAAAAAGAAGGGTGTGAAAAGGTGTGAATAGAAATCCAAGAATCCTGCTGTTTCATAGCTCTCCCTTAAGCACAAGTACATGCTCCTGGAAGGTTATAGCATCTGTTTTTGAAAGCAGCTCTGTGGCACAGTAGCATGATACAACAGAGGGCAGGTTCTCCCCTGTCCTACCCTCCTATTTTTCTATACCTGTTTTTAGGCTGCAGCACACGTCTGCATGCCTGGCCCATCGCCATGCTGCTCATTAGCTCACAAGTGATGCATTGTTTCTCAGTCAAGAGTTTTGTTTGTTTTCTGAATGCCATGCACATATTCCAATGGGAAATTAGACAATACAGGTGGACTTTCTCATTGTTGCTTTGTTGTCATTATGGTAATCTTTATTAAAAAACAAACAAACAAACAAAAAACATGCACAGAAATAAACAACACAAAGGGCATGTAACATTCTTGTCAGAGGGAAGATATCTCTTTTGACTCTTTCTGAGAAATTATCTGTGTATATAAAATTAAATATGTTAGGTACTTTAACTGTCAATTCCTTCATCTCTTCCACTTTTAACAAGCAGAAATAAGCTTCAGGAACTGGAAATGTGTCCAAAAAGATAAGAGACGTGACAATATTACTGTTAAGCTTTAGAACAATGTTGAAGTTTCTATAGAAAACCTCATGGTACATGACGATATTTTTCCCAAGTGATGGTCTTGAGAGAGATGTGTTATTTTTTGTTATTCCTAATGCCTAAGAGTTATGGCCAAAGAAAAGCTTTGTTAAACTCTTATAATAAGAGGAGTTGGTTATTGTTGCAGGTAAAGACGGGAAAGGGCTGGGAGACAAGAATTACTATTTGCATTAGAATTATGTGAGAATGAGAGATTAAATTATGTGGATCACATGGAGCTTACATCTATATTTGTGAGATAGTAGCGCTAAAAAATTGGCTTAAATATTGTCTATAATCATCCATATCATTATGTAGCATTGGTTCTGGCATGGTTATGGCCTGTGAAAAGACACACCTTTCTGCTTGGAAGAGTTTATAGGAGAGCATGAACCCTCATGTTATGAGCACTGTCGCCCTGTTTGGGGAGAAATAGAGTAGACCCTTAAGGTTGCCAGTTGCACTGTATCACTCAACCTCAGGATCAGAAATGGATCTTGTTCTTTATTTAGATTATTGGACCAAGAACTGGTCTGTTACCTACTGAACCTCAGATTCAAGCTTGAAGCTCAGATACAAACGTAAGATTCTTGCCTGTAAAAGCATCCTTCTTCATTTCTTCAGGAGGGGTTTTCCTTCCAAATTTAAGTACTAATACCAGCTATATCTTTTCATTCTCACCTGGATTAGCAAAGGAAGCTAGCGACATGGAAATAAATCCACATGAGAGGGAGACATGTTTTAATTAGATGGAACTAGATGAAGTCAAGAAGGCTTATACTGGCTACGATTAGTAGCATGCAACCAATTTATCTGCTCTCTTGCTCATGAGACATGTTTATGGTTTGGATATGCACAGTAATCATCAACATGGATAAGTGTTGCTTTATTTTGTATGAAGAATTTACAGCATGTTTTCTTATTTTTTTCCCCTTGTTCAACTCCTTAAAATGCTGCAGAGAAATCTCTATTGGGAAAAACTACTATACTTATCATTTCAAAGTTCCTGCACCTCCAACTATAAATTTTTTTCTTTGTGAGCATAAATACTAGCATTTTCAGAAAAAATAAGCATTACAAATCCTGTCCCATCTGTGCCATCTGTATGTCATTCATGTCCATGACTGCCTGTGCTATAGTAGAAGGCTGACAGAGGAAGATACATACTGCCATTAGCTGCAAATTTGGTTAAGTGGTTGGGCATACACTCCCCAGTATCTTAAACAAGAAAGAAAACTTTTTGACAGAATGTGTGAATGTCATCTCAGATAGGTTTGTTTTTTGTTTTTTTGTTTTTTTTTTTTTTTAATCTGGTTTAAAGCAAAATTTTGACTGGTCAAATGAAAATTCTTGGCTGTCGTTCAGAAAGTAATCTTTTGCAGACCTTAATGTTTGTCTGTACCACCAAAGGTTTTGTATGTGGAAAATACTTGTTCAAACATTCTCCATCAAATCATGATAGGGAGAAAGAGGGAACACAGGTGTCTATAAAATGAACAAAGGTGGGTGAATAAGGGATTGTGTGATGTGCTGAAGCAAAACTTTTGCTGAATTCCTCTATCCAGCTGACCTGTGAACTATCTGATGTAACCACTCCAGCATACACATGATCTGATACACCATTATTGAATATCTTAAACCTTGTACAAAACGTAGTTTAACAACTTGAACTATTTACAAAAGACTGTCCTACTTAACTGTCTCTGCATCTGCAGAAGCAACTCCTGCTGATCATCCACAAGCATCTTATCTGTGTTCAGCTTGGTGGATTCTGCAGCAGGAACCTCCCAGGAAAGTACCTGAAACAACCAGATTGCTCACCAAGGATATTAATCAGCACACTGAAGTACACAAGTAGCTGGTTGGAGGTAATTTGTGGGACTGTCCAAAATTCCCACACTGGAGAGCTCCTGTAGCAATAATTCAAATGAGTTGCTGAGAAGCCATCTGAGTTCAGTCCATAATCTTGTTTCAGGTCAGTCTGCTGTACCATCAGTGCAGCTGAATAGATGGGGAATTTCTGGACCAGTCTTATGGGACCTTATGACTTATGTTTACACAGTCATGACCTGGACGCACAGTTATATCACAATTATAATAGAAACTTGAATTTTATTGTTTTTATAGCTTAAATTCTGTAGTTCTTACCTCAATGATACTATGAGTCCTGACAATGTTAATTCATGCTTTAAATTACTTTTTCAGCAGTACCTTTGGATTCAATTTTACAAAGGAAAAAACATCCTCTGGTCCTTCCATTCATTTCATCATTGATTATTTGCTCTATTTCAAAGATCAACCATTGAATTTGTACCTTTTGGGAGCAGGCCATTAGTTCAATTTTCACACTAACAGGTGACATAGAGAACTCAGTTAAAAAATTTTACACCATCATAAGGCTTGAAAACATTGACTATTGTGGCTACTTCATTATACCTGACCTATAACATTATTATTGCTGGGTTTTAGTGGTTTGTTGGGCTTTGGTTCGGGTTTTGGATGTGTGTAGGGAGAGAATTTCATGGGATCATGGATAGCCCTCAGACTTCCTTTATTCATCTGACTGATCCTTCAAGAAGCAGGTCTATGTGCTTTTAAGACTGGGAACTTCAGCACAAATTTCATAAAATCTTTTGAAAACAAAAATAAGCCCCACAAATGCAATGAAAGACTGTTTTCATATAATCAAAAAAAAAAAAAAAAATTATTCAGTGAACCCTAGCTAAGCATTGAATTCTTACCCACAGTGAAAGGTATGTGGACAGCTTTAGCGTTTATCTATCTCTACCTTTTAAGGCTTAGGCCAATAAACATCATGGTCAATAAAGCATTCTGAATACACTTTCCTATTCGAGTATATAGATTCTTTTCTGATTTAAGAAATATAGTGTAATCAAATCATCTATTCCTCCCATGTCTCTGGTTGGAAATATTGTGGCCTGTTGCTTTGAAAATGTTGGCACAATAGATCTACTATTCTTACAGTAAGTCAACATGAAAGAACATATTATTTTCTTTATTATCTGTTTTGCAAGATGTAGCGAAATATTTTCATTTTGAACTCAGGATGGAAGACCGTATCATTTAAAGAACAGCAGCTGGTGATATTTATGCCTAGTAGAGAACAACGTGTGCTCTTCCCTAAAGTACCTCCAAC